GATGTAGTGGGAAAAATGGAGCAAATACTTCTCGTCGGAGGTGTCGCGCCTCTCTGAATTAAAGGGGAAATGGAAGAAGGACTCATCAAAATAGAAGCCTTCGTGGAAGTGGTGGAACTGGCGATGCTGGTGCTGAGAGTAGCCCTGGCTTTCTCCGGCATCTCCATAACGATCAAAGTTTGCTCTCTTTTCCTCGTTGGAGAGAATCTGGGAAGTAGATGATAGAAGAATGGTCACCTGAAACTGTGAGTGGGAACAGTTCTGACAATAATCCCTTAGTAAATAACTGCAGCTGCATAAGGACAGCCTGTGAGGGGTCGTGCACCCTTTGCTGCATGTTGGAGGGATAAATATTCTGGAAAAGGGAACTATTGCATTGCCTCCAGGCTCGCTGTGGTAAAAAAAGGCAAAGCCCAAAGTGAAGGAGCCTGTAAATCCCACCTGCTGTACCCATTTCTGACACCAATTGCTCCTTGAACGTCAAACCATCTGAACATTAATGCTCTTTTCTGGAGCGGCTTTTGCTGGTGTCTACTTGAACATTGACGGTTCCTCAGTGCATTGGAAAGCGCCAAAAGTTTTACCGAGCACCCAGGAGCCCCACAGAGAAGCTGCATTTTTCAGCTGGGAGATGACAATTTGCTTTATTTCTGCGGGCTCAGCTCACTTGCTGTGGAAGTGTCGGGTCAGCCACTGCAAACTGGGGCAGCCGATTTTGAGAGCCATGCAGGAGCGTTGTGCAAATAACTAGTTATGCAAAGAATAATTTGAAGGGACTAAAGCCCTGCGGTGATGAACATTGCTTACATCATCCCCAAAATACTTAGATGTACACGTGACACAGACAAGACGCACGGCCGCCCAGCTGCTTGGGGCTCAGTGAATACCCACTCCTCCCTCGTTTGAGGCTTTTCAGTGAGAACAAGGCAGACCCGTAGCAAAATATTTGCAACAGAGGCCACGCTGGTGGCACCCAGCGGCTCTCTTGAGAAAAAAAGACTAAACTTTTCTGGTCGGTAGTGTTCGCCTCTGCAGGGTCAAGCACCTTTCCTGTGTAGCCATACGCAGAAAAAGCACAAAACCCTGTACGGAAAAATAAGGTCACTTTGATCTTAATGACAGCATGAGTTGAGCAAGGAGAGCGTGTTACCTCATAGGCCTTGCTAATCTGGATGAATTTGTCTTCTGCTCCCGGGTCCTTGTTTTTGTCAGGGTGCCTACAAGGCAGAACCAGAGGAAAAGGGGGTCAGCAGTTCCCTGGGTGGGCACAGCAAACTGTTGGCATCCCTTTAGAGGCGAGCAGGATGCAGACAATTGTGTGGCAGCATCCCCGAGGCCAAGATTGGATTTTATACCCAGCATGTGCTCTCCCTGCCCAAACCCCATCCCAAAACGCAGTGCCAGGACACATGCTGTGTGCCTGCAGACCTGTCCCTCCATCCAATCTGTCACAAACGGCCCAAGCCCAGGACGAGGGAGCGTGTATCGTCCCTACCCACCACAGCGATGCATCCCTCAGCTCCTGCCCTACATATGTATTGAGCTCTTCCTGTAAAATACCTCCTGCCACAGCTCTCGGGGATTGGTCTCAGGCAAAGCTACACTGGCTCTAAAAGCTCCAGGTGAGGCTATTTTCTGAGGCAATGCCTTGAGCCTGCTCTTCAGTGCATGCCACCGAAGCAGGGGGCACGGCATTTGTGGATCCAACACGTTTCACTTCAGTGGCACAGGGGTTGAATAGCCCTTGGACATGGATGTATCAAACTGAGACTTAGACCCTGGTGTATTAAAGGTTTCCAGTTGAGTCAGGGAGAATGTTTTTCCCCCGTAGCCAGACTCGGGGAGAGTTTTACAGTGTGGATTGCTGGCGTGAAAGTGTCTGCTTGGTTTCAGGATGCCTTCTGGGTCACGAGGAAGACCCGGTGCTTGACTCTGACCACCAGCTGAGTCTCGTCTGGCACGGACAGCCAGGTAAGGTGGCTAACGCCTCCACCCGGCAGCGTTACCCGCTCCCCAGAGCGCAGCGGCCTGGCTCTGTCAACCGAGAGGACGCCAAACCACACCGTGTGTGTGTGTCTGTGTGTCCCGTGTCCGGCCCGCCCCGGTGCCGGGGAAGGGGGGGG